TTATTTTCCTTTCTTTTCCATCTGAGTAATATTATATTGTGTATATGTACCAAAATTTCAGTCCATTCTTCAGTTGATGGGTGTCTATGTTTATTTACCTTCCTAGTAATTGTGAATAGAGGAAAAAATGAATGTGGATATGCAAGTATCTCTGTAGTAAGGTATATAGTCCTTTGAATATATGCCTAAGAGTGGTACACTCTGGGTCATATAGAAAATATATATGTATTTTATTCTAGTTTTCTAAGAAAACTCTAAACTGATTTTCAAAGAGGATGCACTAGTTTAAACTCCTACCAACCATGTATAAGGGTCCTGCTTCCCCATGTCCTTTCCAGCATTTCTTATCATATGTACAGTTCCTGATCATGGCCTTAGATAAACACAGTCAGGACAAATCTCTCTCACCCGCCAGTCCCACAGCTGCTCAGACCCAACCAAGTAAACGCAGAGACTTATATTGCTTACAAACTGTATGGCCGTGGCAGGCTTCTTGCTTACTGTTCTTATAGCTTAAATTAATCCATTTCCATAAATCTATACCTTGCCAAGTGGCTCGTGGCTTACCAGCATCTTCACATGCTGTTTGTCATCGTGGCGGCTGGCAGTGTCTCTCTGACTCAGCCTTCCACTTCCCAGCTTTATTCTCCTCCTTGTCCCGCCTATACTTCCTGCCTGGCCACTGGCCAATCAGTGATTTATTTATTGACCACTCAGCAACACACTTGACATACAGACCATCCCACAGCACTCAAAGCACCCCCAATCCAGCTTATTGACTGACCTTATTTGAGGCTACCATGAGACTTAAGTAAAACAGCTCTTATAACAGCCATCTTAAGGTGATTAAGAACTTAACTTCAATTGCGTATGACACACATACATTTCCTTGTATTTGCACAGTCTGATATTGATATTATAATTTACATATTTTAATAATATATAACCATTAGCATTTTTATAATACTTATTTTAATTCACTGAGTTTTGTCTTTTATAGTAGGATTAAAGATCATCTACTCAACACAGATACAGTATTAATACAGGCTGTATTAGTTCATACATTTACTCTTACTAGTATGTTTATAATTTTATGTTTTCATACTTAATATCCTTGTATTTCTATTTGAAGAACTTTCTTTAGCATTTCCTATAAAGCAATTCAGAATTAGATGGATTCTGTAAGCTTTTGTTTGCCAGATAAAGTATTTCTCTTTATTTACTTTATAAAACAAATTTGTATGGCATAATGCCGTTGTTTAGTGGTTTTTATTATTTCCAGTATATTTAATATATCAATTGATTCTTTTGTCCTTTGAATCTTTTTGTTGAGAATTCTGCAAACAATTATTCCCCTACACATCATAAATAATTTCCTTACTGTTTTTATTTTTTTATTTGCTTTTTTGATATGTGTTTTATATGGATTTCTTTGGCTTTACCTTATATTGGGTTTATATGACTTCATAGATCACTTTTTCTTAGATTTGGGGACTTTTGTCCATATTTCTTCAAATAAAATTTTTTTCCTGTTTTTTTCTTTATCCTTGAGTTTGCCAAAATGTGTGTACTGATACATTTTTCACTATCCTACAACTTCCTTATACTTTCATCATTCTTTTCTTTTTCTTTTTGCCCCCTAACTAATTTCCAATTATCTATCTTGTTATTTCATTCTCCTTTTCCATGATTAATTTGCTATTGATCTACTTAGTGAATATTTTTTCATTTAATTATTGTATTGTTTGTTTTCTATTTGATACATAGTAATTTACATGTTATCTTGAAATTCTCACTTTGTTGATGGCTTTTTTCATATTCTGCTGAGCATACTTGTGATTATTATTTTGATTTATGCTTTAAGTAAATCATATATATCAATTTCATTAGAATCAATTTCTGGATATGTATCTGGTTACTTTTTTTGAAAATTTTCCATATTTCTTTCTTCTCTTTGATTTTTTATACTTATATCTGCACATTATAAAAACAGTCACTACTCCCAGATATTCAAGAGAGAACCTACACTAAGTAGCTTGCTATCTAAATCTCAGTATTCCACAGACACCTAGAATATACTATTTCTCTCTAAGAGTCTACTTCTCATTCTTTAAGACTTATTTTCTTGGGGCAGTGTGTAAAGCACTTGCCACAAAAGCCTCATACCTGATTTCAGTTCCCAAAACCTAAGTAAAAGCTGGAAAGGGGAATGTTTAGCTTAATCCCATTACTCCCAAGAGAAAATGGGAGACAGAGACAGTAAAGTCACTGGAGACTTGAAGGCAAGCTTGAGTGGCATGTACAGCAGTGAATAATAAGAGAGACATTGTTTCAAATAATGTGTAACAAATGCCCCATTCATACAAATAAACACACATGGGTAAGTATACACATGCGTACTTCATTTACACACAAAATAAGATTTTAAAAAATATTGAATTTCTTTATGGAATGTTTCCTGAAATTCCTTGATCAGTGATAGATTTGTGTGTGAACATAGCATTGCTTATATCCACAGTATGTTCCTCAGTTTCTCTGTATCTAAACACTACTTGATGGCTAACTAGCAAATGGTTTTTGAAATAGTAGTAAATTTAGTTGATTAGTAACAATTAGTAAATAATAAAAAAATACCAAACAATTGTATAAATACAAAGAATTAGTGGGAAGTAACTAAACAACAGTAAAAAAATATTATAATCAAGAGTCCTATCTAAAATAGTATAATACTTGGTAATATCGCTTATATGCTATGTCTTATTTAGGATTTTAATGCTGTGAAGAGACACCATGACCACAGCAACTCTTATAAAAGAAAACATTTATTTCAGGATGGCTTCCAGTTTCAGAGGTTTAGTCTGTTATTGACATAGCAGGAAGCATGGCAGTGTTTAGGCAGACATGGTGCTTGAGAAGGAGCTGAGAGTTCAACATCTTGATCCACAGGCAGCAGAAGGAGACTGCCACACTAGGCCTAGCTTGAGCGTATAAGACCTCAAAGCCCTCCTCCACGATGACACACTTCCTGCAACAAAACCACCCATATTCCAACAAGACCACACCTCCTATTACTGCCACTTTTTATGGGCCAAGCATTCAAACACATGAGTCTATGAGGACCATTCCTATTCAAACCACCATATACTATTAGAATAATGTTTAGGTAAAAACATGAATCACATGTAGATCTTTATGATAGTATGATGAGAAACAACTGTTATGAGAGGGAACAGTGACCACTAGTTTCAGTGAGAGACTGTCTTAAAATTTTAAGGTGAAAAATAGTGACAAATGTCTGATAATGACTCTAGTCTCCACATGGGTATGCAGAACTGAGCACACATGTGCATACAACCATACATCACAAAAATAAAATTAAAAAATTGACAGGCCTGAGTACAGTATCACATTTTCATGTCCTTTGTATTTAGGTGTCTCTTTATCTCATGACAGATATTTAAATCCATTTATCCTCATAAGATCATATACTTAATATATGCCCTTTTGCAAATATATAATTTTTCATGTCATTCAATAGTGTAGTACAACTTTAACAACTGTATACTTATTATCTGCCCTTCAGACAGATTGTCTATTACTATTCTAGACTATTCTACTGTTACCTTAAATATGGAATGTTATTACAAACAGTCATACTGTCTTTTTTTTAGAGTTTCTGCCAGGCAGTTACCCTTTGTCACTAATTTATAATAATAGCACTTTATAATTAAAGTATACTGATACTTGTGCTCAAAGACCATAGCCATTGAGGAAAATAATTACATTTTTCAGTACTTTTGACATCTAGCTTGGTATAAAAAATTAGTAATTTTACTTTTATATTTATTATAAAGCATATGAATTTATGGTACTGATCTCTGTCCTCTCCATTATGCAAACATCAATTAATACCATTATGTTATCAGGGGCACTAAAATAACTTTATATACTTATCAGAATATACTCTCATTTTATTAGAAATAAAGTCATGAAATCTTTCCAGGAAGAAATGTTTCATTATAAGTAAATCATATATGCCTTATCCTAGTGAATATCTTTCAAAGTATACCTACTTGATTGTGCAACTTTTATAAACACCAAAAAAGAGTAAAAAATTATAATTATCTTTTATGATTTTATGATCTTTTATATGATCTTATGATGATAAGGAAAATTTGATGAGAAAGCCTATGTCTTTGTCTGTAAAATTTATTACCAATTTCTAAATGGAAATTACCATTCAGTATTCCTAAACTCTTTCCAAAATATGATTTCATGTTTAAGCATAAAAAATACTTAAAACTTGGAGGGAATGGCAAAACAGATGTTTATATTTGTTTTTAAATTTCAATCATGCACCTGCCTATGTACCTTGATGACAAGATTATCCATAATGAAATTCAATAATTTTAGTTTAATTTTAAAGCTAAGATATTGGTAAATATCTACATTTCCAGGATGATATAACATTGAGTTCTTGATAGCTATACAAGATATCATTGCTATTAACTTTCATACCAGAATATATATCAAATACAAGGGTATCTTTTTCTCCCTAAATATACAGATTTTATACATTATAAATGCTGTAGCCCAGGAACAAATAAAATTCTTAATATTTCTAGAAACATAATGAAACAATGTAGATAGATTTATCATAACAAATTTGTAAAGCCATAGTTTTATATTTGTCAGAACATTTTATGCATTCTTATATAATGATTTCTTTTCTAAAGAGTAAGCTCTATCAACTTGAAGAAAATTACTATCTGAAGTAAATGACCATGTTTCATTTATATCTTAAAAAGCTGAAAATGGCATTTAATTGAGAAGAAAATGTAGGGTCATGGCCTCCCCTTAAAAAGTCAAATGAAACTCACCATAATAATACTTTGAAGGAAATTATATTTTGTTTGCACAGATTTCTATTGTAATATGAACATAAAAGTTATATTCATTATATATTTGCCTAGTGTTGCTCATATTTTATTCTCTCTTAGTTTGCAGAATTCAGATAGCAAGATACAAGACTGAAGACAAAACTGTGAGATTCAAAGAGGCATCTTCAAGTCTCAGTGACACGCATCTCTCACAGGAAAAAGTAAAGGAAAAGCACAGCTATATCTTTTCTCCAGAATCTCAGACATTCACAGATGAAAAGTATCATGGAAAAGCCAGCCGGAAAATATCTGTCTATAAGCGCCATTGCAGGGAGTATAGATATGCCCATGGTTGTGAGAGTTTTCGGTATCAAATTACTCCCATTCCTCTAAGTTCTGAGATTTGCACCTCTAATGTATCATCGGTTGTTGGCAGCCCAAATTCCGAGAGTCCTAAATCTGTCACAAGACAGAAGACTCGAAGAAGTCTTACATATTCTTTGGATGTGGGAACTCAAAAATGTGCCAGATGTTTTATGGAAATCAGTAACTCTTCTTTTCATAAATGCCCCACAAATTCTGATGATTCTGACTCTGATTCTTCTTTATATGGCCAGATTTCCTCAGATTCTAAATATTCTCTGAGCTCTAAAACTGTTAGACACTTCAAGACTTCTCAAAATAGCCCTTCATCTCGATCCCTGGATCATAAGCATCATGTGGGCATCCGCTGCTCTCTGCATGGGGATGATTTTAAATATTCTGTGGATTCTACCTCTTATTTACATTGTGAAAGTTGTTCAGCTCTCCAAAATCTTAAGAGCTCTGCTGCTACCCACACCATTCCTACAAAATCTAAAAAAACCATGGGCAAACATAGTACCTGTGGCCACATATTGTCAACACCAGTAAGATTATCTGAAAGTGAAAGCAAGTTCAACCTTACTGCCCAACCTCAAAATAAGGATAATCCTGATGACAGCATTATTAAATTTATCAGTGCTAGAAATATCAAAGATGAGACTGATGCTGAAGATAAACTTCTTTCCAAAGATGAGACAGACCATGAAGATGAGACAAATACTGAAGATGAAACAGATGCTGAAGATGAAACAGACACTGAAGATGAAGACAACAACAAAGATAAGAAAGGTCCCAATGACAAATCTGATCCTGATGGCAGTGATCCTAAAGATGGCAACTCTGAAAATAATACTGATAGCAATAGTAGGTCTGATCCTAGTGGTGCTTCCGGGCCTACAAGTGGACCTGATTACAGCAATGATGGTGACTCTAAAAATGTACCTGATCGCAACAATGAATCTGACCCTGCCATTGATAATGCCTCCAACATTAACATTAACTTGAAATATAGCACTGATTTAGACAGTGCTTCTGATCTGGCAGAAGATATCAGTCAACACAATAATGCTACCAAGAGTAGCACAAATCCAAACACTGCTTCTGGAAACAAAAATAGAACTGTGCTGGACTACATTTCTGGTTCCAACAATGATGCTGTCCCTAGAAATGACACTGGACAAGGAAATAATACTTACTCTGAGAATATTAGACCAATTGCCAACAGATTTGACTTCATCAAAAATGAGACTGATTCTAACAACAATTCCAGTCCCCCAAATAGCCAGAGACTACCAAAAGATCTTGAGTCTAACTATAATACCAAACCCAGTAATGCTACTAGTCACAATGTTATTAATCCTAACAATATTTCTGATCCTAACTATGACACAGAGTCTACTAGCACTGCTGTTCACAAACATACAGCTGCCATAAAACATTATTCAGACCTTAATGATGTCACAGTGTTTACATACAAAGTAAGACCAAGTTTTCTAGTCAACCCAAACTATTTTTGCAGAAAGAAATATGTTAGTAGACCCAGCTCTTTACTTAGCACTACCAATGCCATTGATACTAGCAACATCACCAGCTGTACTAATGCTATTAGCTCTCAGTTTACTGCTGGAAAAAGCTATACCCCAGAAAATAAACATTTCCCTAGATTTAGTCATTTTAATGGTTTCAATATTGTCATCAAAAATATTCAGAATGCTCATAATTCTACTAGTACCACCAATACTAATATTTTCACTGATACTGAATTAAAAATTAGCTCCATATCATCTATTCTTAAAATTATTTATGGAAATATCTCTAATTTTATTGCTGGCACCAACCATATTTCTTATCCTGATTTTTTGATAACCTCTGAATTTTATGATCCACTTGAACTTGGTAGAGCTTGTATAATTTTTGATAACCAAAATATTGGTGCTCAGTTCCAAAACTCTGCTGCATACATGGACTCTGATACTTCTAAGTATGCCAGTGGGTCAGCAGATGCCCTTGATGCCAAAGAATCTGGCTTTTTAAAAGATTTTCCTAGGGTCCAGAATCCAATTGGCATCAAGGATTCTTCTCCTTTCAAGATTCTTTCCAATCAAAATATTCCACTCCCTAGTTTTGATGTTATAGTGGAAGCTGAACTACCAGATGTTGTGAAGTTTGCTATATCATCAGGTGCTGTGAATCAATTATTTAAGGTAAGTTTACATAAATACACATCTCAAATTCATCTCTGTTTCCTGTAATTTTTAGTGTTAGGTTATTGAACATAGTTTAAAATTATTTTGCTTAGTTGCATATATAAACTGTGGAATAGAGGAGACAAGTTATCCAGTATTACTTCTTTGACACATTAAAGTCTGTAGTATGATATTCAATAAGATATATTCATCTTGTATACATTTGGTGAATGGAAAGATAGCTGAATAGGCTGTAATAGACTGTTCTACTTCTCTACTTTCTTAATAATGTTTGAATAGTTCATAAACAGAAACCTAGTCACAAGCAAGCTAGTAAATTTTTACAAGTGTATCGCCCACGTGTACCCTTGTTTTGGCTATATTCCTCTTCAGTATAAGAGAGAGGAAAGGTGAAGGGAGCTATGGAGGGGAAGGGACAGAAGGAAGAAGGAAGAAAGAGAAGAGCAATCAAATCAAAATTAATCTTAAGTATTGTGAATGAAACCATTTAACCAAAATCAACTTTGAAAACACTGATCTTTTTTATTTAATTTTTTTTTCATTTTACATACCAAAACACTGATCTTTTTAAGAAGGGTATTTGAAGTAGCTTTGGCATTCTAAATTCTCATTTATTTTTAAATGAATAGCACTTGAGTTATTTTGGTGACATATCAGAAAGCAAAACCCCCCAATTGCTTTTCTAACTTTAGTTTAAAACCTGTTTATCTTATTTTTCTTTATAATGAATAAACCTTTTTTTTCATGCAGTAGCCGACTTTATTCAGAGAATCAGACAATTTATACTCTGAGGGTTAAGAAGAGTCACATAGTAAAGTGCACAATCACAAGGACAAGCCACACATGGCAAAAAAACATGTTGTTCCATAGAGGCATGTAAACAAATAGCAATAGCCAGTTTAATGAATAATCTGAAACGACTCCTCTCCGCTACCAGGGAGCAGTACGAAAACACATTCCAAGAACAATGTGTTTTTGAAGAAACTGAGGTCATAAGACCCTTGTCTTGTTTTCTTGGAGTTTTCTCAGAAATACTCAGAATTCTCACACAACTCCATTTTTAGACAGTGTTCCAACATGTGCCAGATCTGTGCATTGAAAACAACATTTTTTTGAGAAACTGAAGTAACTAAATAAATAAATTAGAGATATACTCCCTTGAGTTAGAAAAGTCAGTATCATTAAGTTGTCAGTTTTTCCAACTTTGTCTGCAGGTTAAATATAATCACAATCAAAATCTTTTTAGGTTATTATGAAAAAATGTGATATTTGCTGGGCATAGTGGTGAATACCTTCAATCACAGCACTGGGAAAGCAGGCCAACAAGGTGCATATAGTGCATTCCAGGTGCTCCCAACCTTCAGGAACCTATATTTTTATCAAATATTTCCTCTAGTAGTCTGAATTCATGCACAAATTAAGATTGCTAAAGTATATGGAGAACTATTTTTGACAATAACTAAGTACTGTTTTTTATGTAACTTTACAAACACATTATCAACAAAGCATAATTAAGTTGCTATACATTAAAATTTATCCCTTTTATACATTAGACAAAGTAAATAAATAAATTTTAGTGTCTTGTGCAAATATTCAACTTTATATAATTTTTCATAAAATAAGTAAATGAATATAACTATACATTTAGAGTGCAGCACAGATTCAAATAGCCAAAATAGAAGCCAAAATTATCTCCTTAATGCTTTTATTACTTTAGTAGAGAACAGTTTTATGGTTTTTCCAAGAGACAGCATCTTCCTAGAAACAGCAAGTATGGCTTTTATGTTTTTCTTATATAAACTTAAAGTTAATACTTGCTAATTATAAGTAATAAAAGTATTGTTCAGATAAAATCTTTAAAATTTAAAGAGCTTGTTTTTCTTGTTTTCCCAATTATTTCTCTCAAGTGAATGTTTGTTTGCATTAGTATGACAAAAACTGAAATATGTTTTATTTATTCTTTTGTTATTTATAACCAAATGAAAGCATGGTTTTAACGTTTACAATTTTTAAGGACTATAGTTACCATTTTGTGGTTAAAATTATGGCACTTAAGAACTATGTTTTCTAACTAAGGGTGACAAGATAAAATATACCTACAAAATAGATTTCATTTACATTAAAAACAAATTTTCCAAGTGCAAGGCATTGATTTCTCTAAAATGTAATAACAAAATGAGCTTTTTATGGACAATGTATCAAAATAAATATTATACCTGTCAATATATTTTCTAATGTTTATATCAGGACTAGACAATTGAAATATTTGCAACCAACTAAAATGTTTTCATTGGAGATGAGCAGGCTTCACAGTAAATTGTGAATAGCTTTGGAAATAATGTATTTGTTGTGCCTTCCAAAACAGTATTTTCTGTAAGAGTGGTTGCCTTCCATTAGATATTTGCTGTTCCAGATTTCCCTGGTTTATTATATCCATGTTCATTGAAAACAACTGTTGTCAATAGAACATGGATGCTTTTCATTCATACAATTAACAAAATGATAGAATCTCACGTTTCAGAAATAAAACTTTTCTACCAATCACAAGTCAACTAAAACAACCAACCCAGGTCCAGCATACATAGTGAAACCACTTGCACCTTTTTTATTGAAGTATTTAATAGACATTTAATAATTAAACCATCCTTTATGCCAAAAAAATAAAGTCTAAGTGATTAACATAGCTGCTAGCATCTAAAAACTCACAGTCTAGTAACCTTCATATAAAACAAGTACACATTTGAGATAGCAGGTAAAAGAAAACAAATTTAACAGCTTCTCTCTGAGTTACCAGAGTGGTTTGAAGTGTTTAAGATACTTTGATCACAACACGTTGCCAATGTAATTAAGTTAGTTCAAAGTATATGTGTAGGTTATTTTGTGCTACAAGTTTTAGAAATACTTAATGATATCTTAATTCCCAAAGTTATCTCTTTTATGGTAATGGCTAATTTTGTCTTTAGTAGAATTAGAACTACATTGCTAAATGACTAGTGTCACTGAATAAGTTATCTAAAAGATTATAAAAGCAGAAGTAATACAATTCCATATCTGATGACAGATGTGACTGACTTACAAGAACTGCATTAAAACCATTCAGAGTCAGCCATTTTGTATTTACAGCATAATGTTTGAAGTACAAAGTGATGAAATAATGACACTGAATAATAAAATACTTTCATGAACAATACAGTACTTTTATATAGTCTATTAAAACTAGAAAGTTATAAGTATGGAGTAGGCATTTCCATTAATAAATGTTTGCACATAACAATCAAATATGCTTTTTGTGCTGAAGCTCCCTCTTACATCTAAAAAGTGCTGCAAATATAAATCAGTAAACATGTTCTTATTTATATGTATGTTGAATATTGAGAGATAAGGCACTGTTTTGGAAAGACTGAAAGTTACAATATAACATTGTCAAAAGTAAAATTGTCTTAAGAGGACACCAGTTCCCAAATAAATGCACAAATGGAGATTTATTCTTAGGAATACTTGGCTTGTTTCTAGCCACCATTTTTAAAATTATCCCATCTACTTTTTGCCTCTGGGCTTTTATCCTTCTCTGTTCTATATACCTTTCTTTACTTCTTACTCCATGGCTTGCTGTATAGCTGGAAGTCTGGCCCATAGAGTACCCCTCTTCTTCCCCTTTTCTCACTCCTCAATCCTCTTCCCAGATTTTTCCTCATATTTATTTTCTCTGAGTGCCCGCCCCACCTAACCTTTCTCCTACCTAGCTATTGGCCATTCAGCTCTTTATTAGATCAGTCAGGTGTTTTAGACAGGCAAAGTAACATAGCTTCACAGAGTTAAACAAAGGCAACATAAAAGAATGCAACACATCTTTGCATCATTAAACAAATGTTTCACAGCATAAACCAATGTAACACATCTTCAACTAATATTCAACAACAGAGGGACATTTATAAGTTTAATTAGTGTGGTTAACAGACCTTAAAACAAATGTTAAATGCCCACATAGTCCAGAGAATGCAGTGTCCTAAAAAAAATGGCCCTCAATATATTTACATAGAGATAATCAATTTGTTCACTCCTGGCTTTTTATGAGTATGCTATATTTTCTTACAGTGGAAGATGTGTTTCTTAGAAATTTTCAATCTGAAATACCACGAAAGATCTCCTGTTCAAAGATAAAGGCAACTTGCTCAAGGTCTGTTAATTGTCCGACTTCTTTACTAAGAGCACCATCAGTGTACTAAACATTACCATAAAGTAGCTATTTGATATAACAATTTAATATTTTTCCATGTTACTAAAGTACTTGATGGTCTCTTAGTGTTATATTACTTGTCAGATAATGATTTTTATCTTTCATATTTTTGTAGTGTTGAGTTATTGAACCAGGGCCACTGTTGTTTAGACAAATGATCTACCATTTAACTACACCTATAACTTAGATGGGGACTTGAAAATGTTCAGTTGAGATATAATAAACTGAATTGTATTTTCTTTTTGGTATAGTTAAAGGTCTCAAATTTAATGTAACCAAAGTATTCTCTCCAAGAATTCTGAGAGGAAAAAAACTGCAATTAAAAAAAGAGAGAGCCACTACTAATGTAAATCTTTCAGTTTTTCTCTGGATAATTTATGAGAAAAATCATCATTAATCTTAATAAAAGATGAAGATGTTGCCAGGTAAGATGGCACATGCCTTTAATTCTAGCACTCCAGAGGCAGAAACAAGCAGATCTCTGTGAGTTCGGCATAGCCTCATCTACATAGCAAGTTCCAGATAGACTAACAGACTACATAATAAGACTATGTCTCAGAAAAGAAAAATAGCTTTAAATTTTGTTTTAAACTTTTTTACATTTATGTGATGTGTTGTTTTCTGAGCCAAATACAGACCTACAAAGACATGGGTGAGGAATCTAAAGTGAACCAGTTGTCCCAAGTTCCAAGTAAGAAACACCTTTGTTACTACTCTGGTGTATAGAAAAATAAATGCCCATGACCTTTCTGAAAGCAATTTCAGAATCATGATTTCCCTGATTCTTCAGGGTTTCTCATCCAGTTTTCTATTATAGTATCAGAGCTGCATTTTCATCTAGTAAATTGTATACTACCAATAGAAACTGGTAGCATCTAAATAAAATACATAGTGATAAACAATGAAGAAAGAAAAGTTTGTGATAGGCCCTGAAATGACAATTTATAGATAATTATATGTGATTCTCAACCAGAAAAAAATTACTAAGATTGCTAATTATGAGAATTTTAAGCAGTTCAGAAAATATGTAACTCATTCAAAATATTCTTCAATACAAATTGTAAATGGTATGTAAAGTTACATAACAAAAGATTGAGAAATTGATGAAATTGGAGGATAGATAAAATTTGCAGTTATTCAAGCGCGTAGTAATACAAAATACACTTTTAAGTTATCTCTATTTCCCAGATGAGGAATTAGAAGCATAGAATATTCAAGTAATATTTCCATTATTACATAGCTATAAGATGAAATAGCATATAATTAAACATAGAGTTAATTTCTTTATTAGATATGACATTCTGTTGTAGCAATCAAATACAGTAAGCATAGCATTAACCTAATATATCATGCATGTAGGTTCCAAACTAACATCACTATGGTCCCATCTTAGTATTTTAATAAACAGTATTATCCCTGTTATTATAAGATAATCATAGCAGTTTCTTGAGTAAGGACTTGAACTTTTCAAGGGTCACAATATCTAACATTTTCTATTAAATAAACTATTTAAAGTACTCTATAAGAAGAAATATATTTTTCTTTTATTATCACTGATGACTCCCTAGTTTTTTTTTTTTTATTCTGTTGTTGCAGCTCAGCCTCCAAACAGGTAGCAGACAAAACCTTGGCCTTTGATTAATGAAAAGAACACCTTGAGATAGAAAAGACAAAAGCACAACCAAGAAGGTTCTGAGGATATGAGCAAATAACTTCAAAAAGAACTACAAAGATCCCTGAGCAATGTTTATTTTATGTTTATTCTTAGATATTCTCCCCATTATATGTCAATGCATTTATTGTCTGTTGTGGCCACAAATATTTCAAAGTACCATGTGATATATGCCCCATCCATATTACTTACATGTGACAGACTCTGTAATTAGGAAAAGGACACACTATACTGTTCTCTAGATATACAAAAGTAAATTTTATTGTTAAATATTCAAAATGCAGACGTGTTTTCCAACCAGAAATTCTTCCCTTTATTTTTATTCTCAAGAAGATAGCTTTACCTTTAAAAAATTTAAGACAAATTTTATTTATTATTGTGGTGACCATTTTAGATTTAAAAGAACCCATACTTAATCTATATTTTATTGTTAATCTTAATTGTTGTTGTTATCACTGTCTTGTGAGTATGGAGCTCAAAATTAAAATAGTTAAGACTCATAAGTATTGTGTAGTGTTTGTTTAACTTTCTATTTATCTCATTCAATGAATCTATCTATGGATCCTCCTGAAAGAAACAACAGATCATATAGGACTTAACAATATAGCTGAAAAATAATTGAAATAAAAGAAAACTTATTTCCTTTTCAGTTAGAAGACAGAGCTAGGTTTCTAGACATACTTAAGTAAACACCTTTTGACTCTTGATTTCCAGGTACACTACACACTTAGGACAATCAAGCCATGCAAATTTGAGAAATCTTTATATAAGATACAGACAGTGAAGACACTCTGTGTGCTCTATTACTCATCACTTAAATTTAAGTGTCTTCTCCAGCTAGCCAAGTCTCCTAAATATTCTGTGCCTTACTTTGTTTATACACACACACACACACACACACACACACACACACACACACACACACACACAGCATGTTCTCTTTCATACCTTCCCTCAACATAAAAATTACCTCCTTCATAAGCCTCATATAAACAATATGGATGGACTCTGTCCACGAGTTTTTAGTTATAGGTCATTCAATGTATATGTTAATACATTTGGGAAACTACCAATAGTTTAGCATACATATAGAGTTCATTGTGTAGATGGGGTGGTGATAGTAACTCACATTGGGAACAGATGTAAGACCCTTGTTTACCATAATAGAAAAGTCAGGCTTCTCTCAAAAAAAAATGGATAATTCTTAAGAACTTAAAGCAGGGTAATAATATGATGTGATTGAGCTGCAAAGAAACCAGTTTATTGGTTGTATGGAGGGTGGATTTTAGAGGAAGCTGAGAGTTAAGGGCACTAGAAAGCCTGTCTCCCTGAATTATTGTAGACTTTTAACTCAAATGGTCTTGAAATAAGGCAGTAAGCAGTAAAAATGGAGATGAGAAAGTATGCTTGAGATATTGAAATAAAAACAACTTAAAATTGCTGATTAATTGGATGAAGGAGGAAAGAAGGAAATACTTAAGAGAACTCAGTTTTCTGATGTGAGTGATATTGGTGGTATGATTAATCTAAAAATAGAAAACAAGGAGTATTAGGTATGCCTGAGGAGATAGTTACATTTGGCTTAAGATTTAGATTCCTAAGTAACATCTAGAAATATCCTTGGCCCTGCAAGATTTCTCAGTGGTTAAAGGTGCCTACTGTCACTCCTGATGATCTACATTTGATCCCTGAAACCTTCATGGTGGAAGGAACAAACCAACTCCCATAATTTATCCTCTGACCTCCACACATGTACCAGTGCACATGCACACACATACACACTCACAAATTATAAATATAATTTTTAAATGAAAGTAAAAAATGTAAATGAAAATAATGTTCCAGATTTATCTAGTGTGAGACCAGAATCTTAAGTGTCCTCAGTAAAGAAAGAAAGCTAAGCATAACAATGTTAAGAATACCTTGTTATGTTTTGGTTTGGTTTTTGGTTTTTGGTTTTTCGAGACAGGGTTTCTCTGTGTAGCTTTGTGCCTTTCCTGGAACTTGCTTTGGAGACCAGGCTGGCCTTGAACTCACAGAGAGCCACCTGCCTCTGTGTCCCGAGTGCTGGGATTAAAGGTGTGTGCCACCACCGCCCGGCCAAAAATGCCTTGTTTTTAATGTGTTTAATTTCCAGAACCTTACATCTTCTTTATTTACATCAATTAGGTGAATGAAGAAAAACCTAAAATAAACAAGAAAGTAACAAACTACATGTTTACATTGAACATAAGCATTCATTGATTTCTGAGTCTTTTCTGCATAATCCTAACATATATGAATAAATTTTCTTTTTAATTCATTTCATTCAACATCATATTTCTATATTTGTTTCCTCTAGATTTTACTGGCAAAACACCCTCTAAATATACAGATATTTTAAAATTCAGTAAATTGTACAAAACAAGTTTTCATAGTTACTCAACTTGGCCTCCTTGAAGATGCTATTCATTCTGTAAAATAAACCAACAAAGTTGTCAATATATAGGAAGGATATGGCATAAGGCTCTAACATCCTCTCCAGAGCTCCCCTATAGTCCTTTTTTACATAGTTTACTGGATTCTGAAGTTGTCCCAAGTTATATACTCACATCTGAAGATTTGGAGCTAGATGCACAGAAGAGAGAAAACATTTGGTATTTGTCTGAATCTGGGTTATCTCATTCAATATATTTTCTAATTCCACCCATTAATCTGAAAATTTCATCATTACTCAGTTTTCTGCTGTTAAATACCATTCTACAGTGTATCTATACCATATTTTCATTATCTATTTTTTCCATATGAATAGCATCTAGGTTGATTAGATTCACTGTTGTGAATAGAGCAACTGGACATTTGCTAAATAAATATCTGAAATAGGTTGTCAATTCCTTTGGGCATTTTCCAAGAAGCAATATAGCTAGTTCATATGGTAGACTCATTTTTAGCTTTTGGATAATTACTACACAGATTTACAGAGTGACTGTACCAGGTTGCAATCCTACCAACAGTAAATGATGGCTCTCCTTTCCTCATGTCTTATGCAGCATTTATTTTGTTGCCTTTAGCCATTATGACTGAGATAAGATAGAATCTCAAAGCTGTTTGGATTTTCATTTCTCTAATTGCTAAGGATGATGAACATTATTGAGATGTTTCTTAGTCATTTTGTTTCCTTTGAGAACTCTCTGTTTAGATCCATAGCCTGTTTATTAAATAGGTCATTTGTTTTTATGAGTCTCTTTTTGAGTTCTTTATAAGTCTTGGATATTAATGTTCTATCAGATGTGTAGCAGACAAATATTCTGCTCTTCACTTTTGTTTCCTTAGCAATTCAGAAACTTTTAGTTTTATGAGGTCCTACTTGTCAGTTGTTGCCTTCGATTCCTGGGTAAATGGAGTCCTTTTCAGAAAGCTATTTCTTCACCTGTATCTTGTATGGTACTTGCTGACTTTTTTTTTCTTGCAGTTGCAAGTGAACATTGAGGTCTTTGATCCATTTTGAGTTAATTGTTGTTAAGGGTGATCATGGAGACATCCAGTTTTCATAAAATCACTTTTTGATGAGGCTATCTTTTCTCCAGTATATGTTTTTGTTAGCTTTGTCAGATATTAGATGGCTGTAGTGATGATTGTTCAATTTTCTTCCATTGGTCTACATGCCTGTTTTTGTGTCAGGACAATACTGTTTTTTATTACTATATAACACTGATATATCTGGAATGGTAATCCCTCCAGCAATGTTCATTTTATTCATGATTGCTTTGGCTATCTGGAGTCTTTTGGTTATTAGAATAGTTTTTCTTCTATTTCTGTGAAGCATTAGATAGGGATTTTATTGGATTGCATTGAGTCTGAATAACTTTTAATATAATGATCCTTTTCATAATGTTAATTCTACAATTTTGTGAGCATGGGGTGTCTTTCCAGGTACTGTCTTTCTCAACCTTTCTTCAGAGATGTAAAGTGTTCATTATAGATGTTTTTAATTCCTTTGTTAGGTTTGTTCCTAGAACATTTACTTTCTTGAGAATATTGTGGATGAGTGTTTGTTCATGATCTTTTTCTCAGTATATTTGTTATTGGTGTATCAAAAATAGATATTGATTTTTTTAACTTGACTCTCATCTTGAAAGTTTGCTGAAAATGTTGCTCATTTCTAGGTGTTTCCTGGTAAGCATTTTAGGATCTCTTAATGTATATTATGTCACCTGAAAATGGGGATAGTTTGACACCTCCTTGCCTATTTATATTCCTTTAATTTTATTTTCTTTCCTGATTGTTCCAGCTAGTGCTTTGTCCACTCTATTGAAAAATAATGTAGATAGTTGACATCCTAGTTTCCTCCCTGATTTCAATGGGATTGCTTTGAGTTTTCTCCATTTAGGATGATGTTGGATGTGAGTTCCTCATATATAAACTTTACTATGTTAAAGTATGTTCCCTTTAGTCCTACAATATCTAGGACATTGATCATGATGGAATAGTGGATTTTGTCAAAAAGCTTTTTCTGCAACTATTGAGAGGACCATGAGATATTCTTTCTGTCTTTAAAACCGTTTTGTGATTATTACATTTAATGACTTATATCTGCTGTATCATCCTGGCATGGTGAATATTTTTTGATATATGCCTGTATTTTTTGCAAGTATTTTATTGAGGATTTTTAAAAATCTATGTTCATCAGGAATATTGGGCCTATAGTTCTTGTTTTTTATCAAGCTTTTGTCTGGTTATGGTATTTAGAGCAATACTGGATTCATAGGAGTTTGGAAATGCTGCTTCTGTTTCTGTATTTATTTTATTCTCTCATATATTACACCCCAACTGCATTTTCCCTCCCTCCCTCTTCCTGGCCCTCCCTCCCCAACTCCTCTCCTCCCTCCCTGATCCATGCCTTTCTTTCCCTTCAGAAAAGGCCAGGCCTCCCAGGAATATCAACCAAACATGGCATATTAATTGCAGTAAGACTAGACACATCTCC